AAATATATTATTATAAAAATTAAAAACTTCAGTGATGAAAAATGTGTATTACTTATTCCACTCCTACCCACAAAAAAAGTTGTTTTCATCTATAATATGAATCTAATATACACAAAAAATATTGAAATCTTAATGCGATTGTTCTGGCTTTTTAAGTTTCACAGTGAGTTTCAAGACTATCACTAAAAATAAAATTTATCATAAATATTAAACTATAACAAAACATAATGTTATTTTTAAGCATTTGAGATGTGTGCCACATTGTGTACTTTTGAACATTGAAGATATTATATGCATAGTAATTTCTCAATTTTTCTAATCTTAATGCACCGTGAACCACCATATAATTAAATAATGTTAATTTTGAAGAAAAAATCTAATTGTTACCGATAGATTTACAACTGCAAAACATATTTCAACTAACAAAGGAATTTCAAAACATACTTTACTAGCAGACGCCATCACCCTACATCAATCTCAGTCAATAAATGACACATTTGAAGGAGTAATTAATTAAACATTGGGACACAAAATAATTTGATGTGCTTTTGGTGCCCTAATGAATTATAGCTACAAGTTTCATTGGGTCTGTTCAATACCTGTTTAAGGGACATCTTCTGGTACTTTGTGTGTAACTCTGGCGCGTTGGACAGCGTGCCCAGCGCGGCTATCTTGTCCAGCGACTCCTGGATCTTCTCCTGCAGCAGCACTTCCTTCGATGCCATCTTCTCCAAGCCCTTGGCGTCTTCCTCCATCTTCTCTTGGGCTTCCTTCTCCTGTTACGTGGAAATCAAGGCCAATGAGGAGAATTAGGTTTGGTTTCAAAAATTAATGAGGAACCGTAACTTGTAACTTGTGGACTCAGGACTGTTGGCTGCAACTTTATGTAGGCTGTTGAATCTGAATAGTGTTCGCTTCTAATTTATCAATCATTCTTTATTTATTTTGTCTCTGTAACTGTCTCTGTACATGGTGGCTTTTCTAAGTGTATCCATTTTTTTTATTAAATTCTAGACATAAATAATGTTATTTAAAAAATGATAAATATTTAAAATCACTCGTAAGTAGTAATTAATTCCATTCATTTGATCTAATCTCAAAAAGTGCGTGATTTATGGGCAACTCATTTATTTTACGCGCGATCATTCATAACTAACACGCGCACAAGTTCGTACACAGTAAAATTTAGGTATTTATGAATGACTACCACATTGTCAACACGTTCTGTTTTTTAGGGGATAAAATGTTATTATTTTTGGAAAAAAAAGACTTTTTTTATTTCAATAAACGATTATACTACCGCGTCTGAACCTCCTGTGTAAATTTGGACACGTCTCAAAAAATCTCCGTGTATATTGTAAAATTTCATAATCTGTTGTGTATAAATAACAGCCTATATAGTATGTCCCAATTTCTGGGAAAAGGCCACCACTGTCCTGAGGGTATTAGAACGTAGTTTACGGACTGGCGTGTCTTCGAAATATTTTATTTTATTCTTATTTCGAAAATATATATGTTTCCTCACGATGTTTTCCTTCACCGCTGAGCACTTGATAAGAAAACACTTAAAATTAACGATTTCATTGGTGTCGGCACACAAATTTGAAGTCCGTTTGGCCGAGTATTTTTAAAGAAAAGTAAGCATCGGACACTGAGCTATCACAACTTCCGCTTGATAATAAGCTGTGATTACTATGATTGGGAAGATTTTTGCTCCCTCGAAGAAACATTACATCTCTAATGTGATGGCGTTGCTCCGGGAGCCTGCAATCGATGTTTCAAATACTACGAAACTATTACATTATTACTTATTTTTACTTTAATTATTTTTTTTTATTTATAATTATTTACTTTAATTATTATCATCGACTTTCGTCATGAATAAAAAAAGTTGGGAGAAAAAAGAAAGAGAATGGGCGCAAGAGGGTTACCTTGTTCCGTTGTTTTATGACTCCATGGCGCAGCCAAGGTATTGACGTCGGTTCCGGTGTTTGTGGGTTCGAATCCTACAGAACTATATGTGTACAAGCCACAGATAATTGTTTCGGACCAGGGTGTTTGTTCGCGCGAGATTTATGTATGTTTTTGATGGGAAGTCTACAATAGACCGGTCATAGCGGACTTAATACAATACAATACCTTGTTGCGCCACTTGTCGAGTTCCAGCTTGAGCGCCTTCTCGTTCCGAACAGCTGCCTGCACCTTCCTCTCGACTTCCTCCATCTCCTTGTTGATCTGGCGGATCCTCTTCTCCGCGGCGGTGAGGTCCGCCTTGCTGTTGGCCAAACGCCGCTTCCTGTCCTCCACGGAGATCTCCTGCAGCGCCTGCACCAGCTCGTCCTTGCGCCTTCAATCAACATTGATATTATAATATACAAATGCGAGGTAGATATGACACTAGCGCACAGAAACTTTATTAGAAGATGGCAACGCATCTGCAACCATACGGGTGTCGAAAATGTTCATGGGCGGCGGTTATCAGGTAACATCAGAACCACTTAAATAGTAGACAATTATATCTTAGAAAGTGTTTGCATTAATCAAATCCGTCAACTGTTATCCCTCTTAATGGAATGTGGTGCATGTCCACAGATACCCTCTCTTTTACACAGTTTTAATAGCTGTCTTGCGAGATAGACAGTTAGTGTATAGTCGCGAATAACGATTGATGACGGTTTTTAATAAATTTATGCAGGGCCGAGGCACACCTGATCAGGTTGTTGGTGAGGAGGTTCTCCAACTTGTTCTTGTTCGCCTCCAGGTTCATACGGTGGCTGAAAGCCTCCTTGTTCTCCTGCGTGAGACGTCGGATCGCGTCGTTCAACTCATCCACTTTGCCTTGGTCCGCCGTGGACAGTTGCTCCATCAATTCCTGTACACATGAGTAGATTAGAAGAGTACATTAAGAAAAATTGCTTTTTGATTATAAATGTATATGCAATAGTTACATTTATTTTATTTTTATTATTGCTATGGTAGATACATGTTTTTATTAAAAAGCGGAATCAAGCGGACGTAGACGTTAACCCGTGCGAAGACGGAAAGAATAAGTTTATATATAAAAGTTATATACTTTTGTATTGTAACATACTACTATACTATTGTATATTAATAAACAAATGGTACCTGATGTAGCTCAGACTCTAAACCCTCCTTCGTAGCTTGCATTGCCTCTAAACTGGAACGACATTGAGCCAGAGACCGCTCCTTGGGACCCCTGAACCTCTCTATTGATGTCAACTCTTCTTTCATCAGTCGAATGTCCGCCTTTACTTTATCGAAGATGTCCCTGTAAAGAAACTTTTTTTTTAAAACCAATTTCTATTCCAAAATTGCATAAGGACATCGTAAGGTTGTAAACAAATTTTTATAATGGAACATAAATGTGTATTTTCCATCATACAAATTAACCAAAAATGCATGGGACATGAAAATGCTGTCGAATACAAGTTGTATTGTAGAAAGAGGTCGAATTTGAAACAAAATTCCAATTAAAGTTTTCATAGTTCAGCATAATTATACTATCCCATCCATCATAAATTATTGACCGTTATAGTGCCTAAGAAACATTACATTAAGCAATCTTTGGCTGGCCAATTAAGGTTGAAAATACTCCTAAACTGTTTAAAGACCAATTATTAATAGAGGCACTAGACTTTAATTCAATTTACTCAAGCAGCCCGAGTTCGATCCCTAGTGCCAGCAACAACGGAATTGTTAATTTTAAGTGCTGACTTATTGCTTACCGGTGAAGGAAAACATCGTGAGGAAACCTGCGTATTTTCGCAATAATAAACGAAAATATTTCGAAGACATGTGAAGTCCACCAACGCGCAGTGGGGCGGCGTGGTGGACTATGCCCTGATACCCCCGTACAGACGAGGTGTTTTCCCAGCAGTGGGACATGTATAGGCTGTTACTTTAGCGTTTTTCATTAATAGACTAGCGACCCGCCCCTGCTTCGCATGGCTGCAATGTATTGTACATATAAACCTTCCTATTGAATCATTATCTAGTAAAAAAAACCGCATCAAAATCCGTTGCGTAGTTTCAAAGATCTAAGCATACATAGGGCCGGAAACATAGCGACGAACGGACGAAGGACGACTTTGTTTTCTACTATGTAGTGATGTCCACTCACTTAGCCTTCCCCTGTTTGGTCTCTGTCCTCTGCATCTCAGAGACTATGCTGTTGATGCTGGTCTCCGTCTTGCTCAACTCCTGGCGCAAAGTGCTCAGCTCCTGCTCGAGCGAGTTGATCTGCTCCATCAGCTCTGAGCGGGTCTTCTGCATCTCGAGGCGAGAGCGCGACTGGTTGAAGTAGCCACCTGTCAAAGAGCCTTTTGATGACACCTGGAACGGAGATAAAATTGGTTTTGAAACGCATCGAAAAGAAAAATTTATAATCGCTTGGTCTGGGGTTCACATTTAAGATGCAACATAGTAATGATCTCAATATAGTCTGTCCTGTGTATTCTTTCTTTGCTCTAGTAGAGCAAAGAAAAAAAAAAAGAAGAATGCATGTAGTTATATATATATTCGATTACAAAAGTCACTACCTCCATTACATATTTAATATTTTTTTCAGTAGTAAGGATCGAAACCGCATCCTCAGGCGCAAGAGACAGTTTCACTATCCGCTGCGCTGATGGGATCACATATCCACATGTACATACAATGATTTTGTATAGGGAGACTTTTTTAAAGGTGGCCAAATTTACACAGGAGGTTCAGACTCGGTAGTATAATCGTTTATTTTACTGCTTTTAGTAAAAAAAATTACCATTCTTTTCACTAAAAGCAGAACTTGTTGACAACGCGGAAGTCATTCATAAATACCTAAACTTAACTGTTCACGCACGCAAACGAACTTGTGTGCGTGTTAGTTATGAAGATCGTGCGTAAAATAAATGAGTTGGGTATAAATCACGCACTTTTTGAGATAATTTCAAATGTAATTAATTACTTACTAGTGATTTAAAATATTGTTCATTTTGTATATAACATTATTTATGTCTAGAATTTAATTAAAAAAAATTAATACACTTAGAAAAGCCTCCCTGTGTACCATATACATTCTTCAGTCTTACCTGATCACCCTCCAATGTGACGCAGTCGAGATGAAACTGTTTGCCGAGTTCCGTTGCACATTCGAGATTCCTGCAGATGAGAGTCTTGCCGAAGATGTACTTCATCGCTTTGGCATACTTCTGGTCGTACTTTAACTTCTGTACCATTGCAATTGCATTCTGAATACCAAAAAAAAAACATGTTCAATATTTGTTAATGTTACGTCGTGTATAGTATTACGGAAGTAAACCTTTGGTGATTTTAGGCATATGCCGCTGTATAAGCAAAACTAAGAATAGTGATTTGACAGTGTATGATATCCATCTACCCTCCAACCTTAAGAAAAAGAATTACATTACATTTACATTTTATCGACAATTACATTCCGCCACCCCATTTGCCACCAAAATCTAAGCGAAAATCGAACCCATGATCATCACATGGATGCAGTTTTGTAGAATTAGGAATTGTAATTTGTAGAGTTAGAAATAGGAACTCTCACTTCATTTAACGATTTTATATTCCTGATTAACCCATGATTGATCAGTCTATGATTCGCTAAAACGGATCATTTGTTCAAAAAGCCCGCGACTACGTCTGCGTAGAATAGGCTGAAGTCGGAACATTCAGACAGAACGACAGATATACATAAAATATGTATATAAATTATAAACTATGTGTGATTCTGATGTATAAGCTTCAGTTCAGTTGAACTTTCAGCTTCAGTTGTTTTTGCAAGAAACAGTAACAAACATCCATTCATACATACAAACTTTCACGTTTATAATATTAGTAAGGATGTAGAGCTAAGGTATGTAATAGCATCTATTGATGAACGAATATGGTCAAGCTCGTCTCAGCCGCAAAAAACCGACGTGAAGTGAAAATGTATAATTTAGCATTACACCCCATATATAACCAATATTTTCAAGGTTTGCAAAGCATCTGCATACCAACAGATGCAGTAGATATCTATTGGCGTTGATAGTCAATTTAACAACGGACCTCCTGCTCATTATCTTATTATTAGCATTTGCTATAATAGATAACTAAACATTTGCGAGATCACATCACTCTCTCTATTTGTGGTGCTGTTTATATATTCAGATTATTTATCAAGGTCACTGTCTCACTTCTGTGGTATCTATAACACAAGATGGGATGCACAGGCGTAGGCAACATTAAAAACCCTCGAAAGTATAATATTTCCACTTCACTTCGGTCTTCTATGATGAAGTGGTATTTCCCAGGACGGGGCTGCCTATTCGTAACAGCAGAAGTTGATGGATGGCCCTACTAATAAATTATGAAGCTAATCCGACAGATGTTCCATGATGTTCTATACATTCGCTACGTCAGGAAAAAGATAAACGTCCGCGTAACGCTCACATTGTCGTTGGGATATATCATGTCTCGAACTTGGAGCCTGTTGAGGGGCATGAAGGTGACCTCCCCGGGCAAACTCTGTCTGTTCATCTCCTTCAGGATCTTAGTGCCCACGGTGTCCGATTCCACAATGTGGTGGAAGAGACGGTTGCCGGCGGTAACCTGCGAAAATATTTACCACAAACCCATTAACTTAGCGTTGTTAGGTAGAAGAGTTTTCAAATAAATAACAGACAATTTTGCTTTTTTTATGTGAGTAGGTTGTAAGCGACCTGGCAGTTCATCTGATATTAAGTGATAGCCACCGCCCATGGATATTTGCACCAACCGTGGGATTGCAAATGTGTTGCCAACTTTTAGTAAAATGGGCCCCAGCTACCTCACTCACCATACAAAATGTATAAGTATAATAACGATTCCACTTCAAGCCTGTGTTCTGTAAGTTTGTGGTACTTCTCTGGTCGAAACTGCCCATTCACACAGCAAAGGCTGTTGCATGGCCCACCACAGTTAAAAGTTGTTGTTCACGGGTTACTTATGTATTAGTAACAAGGGTCCAAACACTTTCTTCACTTTGATTCACTTAAAGATTTAAAGCATTATTTCTTTTTACCTTTTTGGATAATAAATTTCCCCTCTTTAGCCTCGGTATATGTGTCACTCACTACATTTGATTTCATTAACTTTAAGATTGTGTGTCTACTTAAAAATTCTGATGAGGTTGTATAACCTGATTATAAAAAATCAAAGATCATAAAAAAGTGGCAGGAAATTAGTTAATATCTATTATTATTTCATTTGTAATAACAATTTTTATTGACATGATTTTGTATTTGTTCTCACGGTATTAAAGGTTGTTAAAACATTGTTAGAAATTTGAATTTCAAATTAAACATCATAAACCTGTCAGAGTGGTTAAATTTTTACAAATAAATGTATTATTTCTTTTACATATTTCGACTGTATAACCATGCAACACTTCAAGGTTATTGAATGACCTTAAAGCTCACAAATTTGATAGGTTCCATAATTGCAGAGAAAACTGAATTTTTCTCACGTATCTCTCACCTCAACAGCTGTATAGATGGTTTTGTCGCATGTGAAGTTTTCAATGACTGGTCCGTAGTACTGTGTCGCTATTTTGGCCCATTCGCCACCTCTCTCTTGGAATGTCTCCAGCACTTTGCGCACACTGTCACGACCGTTGAGTATAGGCTGCAAGATAGAAGTAGCTTTTAAAACCGGGAATAAACCAGATACAACAATATGACTAATAAGGTCGGTAGACATAAAACAATCAAATATACACTTTTCTTAGTTCTAATATTATCACGTGTCACCCACTCATGATAACATTGTTTGCCATAGACGGTGATTATTCTACTTACGGGAAGTGGACCACAATATCATGTCTGAACACTATTTGCATTAGAATCAGGAAATGTAGATGGCAAATATACATCTAGCCTTTAGCCCAGATACATAAAGGAAATAAACCAAAAAATAACTTTTCAAATTATTATTTCTATAATTATATCAAATTTTTTTCATTATTTATAATCTAATAAATTAAAAAAGCTCACCTTTCCCGCCATAGAGCGAAGTGCTTGGTCCGCTTTCGCCAGGTCGTCTTTTAACGACGACAGATTCTGCGTCAATGTGGTCTCTTTGCGCCATAGCTCGCTGAAATTTTAACGTAATATATTCAAAAAAACTTTATTACAATAATAAACAATAAAATAGAGAACTTTTCTGTAGTGAAATTAGACCCCATTACAAAACCACTGTGGTAGGGCCAAACAACAGTCTTCACTGTTACTCAAATGGGCAGAACCTCACAAAGACCTGCGTGAAGTTGAAGTGTCATACTTCTGGATTTCGTCTGGTGAGTTAGGTAACCGGAGCATACTTTATTGAATGGTAGCAAAGCATCTGCAACCCTTCGGGAGTAACGTTTAAGCACTAGCTCGCTTGCCACCTTCTCACATAAAAAGAATTAGTTATGAAGGTTGAGAGATAGTGAAGCAATGAATACATGTATGCATTCTGTTTTTAAATTTGTTTTTAAGTACTAAAATGTTAATTGTATGTGTACTGACTTTCTAGCGCTCTGCTCTTGGTCCTTCCTCTTTTTGCACTCGTAATACTGCTTGTTATGCTCGTCGATGGCGACTCGCTGCCGTTCCATCTCTTTCGTAGTCTCCTCAATTCTCTTCTGCAGTTCAGTGAGTTTTGACGCATCGCGACGCAGGTCCTCCTTTAGTTTGTTCTCGTGGTCCTTTTTGTCTTTGATTTGTTTATTAAGTGATCTAGAAAGATTAAATTGTTGTAGATACTATGTGAAATTTATATGAAAATAAACTACTTTGGTCTTATATTTAAAAATAAACTGGTTTCCCTTTTAATGTTTATTTATTTTTTGATTAAAACATCGTCGAAATTAGCCAGCACAAGCAAATTTTCCATGCTAGGGTCTAAGACTAATCTAACAAGCTTCTTTGTATTATAAAATCAAACTTGGCTGGTTTAAGCCATTGCCCAAAAAATCTTACCAAATCTGTACCGTTTCAACTAGCTAGCATTAACCAATTGACAATTAAATAACTTTTTTTCTTTGTTAATTTTAAACTTAATTTTTTTAATTATGGATTTTTAACCTTCATATTTTTTTATGATTATCGGCAAGTACCGTTAGATGTGTGTATATACTAAACTCACTTAAGCTCTTTCTCAATCCATCTATCTCTGTCCTGTTTCGATGTGAACTGTGTCCCTCTTCCTTGTTTCGCATACAACTCCTGTCTCTTCTGCTGGTTGAGAGCCAGCGCTCTGGTGCACTCCTCCTCACGTGCTTTCATCTCCTCATATTTAGGCTTCAACTCCTCCAGCTCCCTCTCTTTCTCCGCTATTTGCTGCCGCAAACGCTCCAACTCTGCCTCGGCCCTTTCCTGGAGATCAACATTTTGTAAAGATCAAACATCTACCAAAGTTTTAAAATATTTTTCATCCCAGAAATATGTTTAGTGATTATTTCCAATGGCAAAAAAGAACTACGCCAGTCTTCTGTGAGGCTGTGGTAATCCCCCAGACAAGTTTACCCAATTGTGCAGCAGTACTGCTACATTGCCCCACTGTAGTAAAATAAACGATATAGTAATATAGTATAACCCAATATAGTAAATAAATGGCCATAATAAACAGCAGGCAAGAACATTATATTAAAGTTGTTGCAGACAATGGGCTTTTGGATATCTCAATAAATAGTTGAAATGCGAACTACACACACTCCGAGTCCAATATACTTTACAACACAAGATTACATTATTTCTATCATTTCAGTAAGAGTTTCTTTAGTTCACATGCATTTCGTCAATGCAGTAATTGGAATAAAAAAACAAGTTATAAGCAGGACAAGGCAGTAAAATACAATCAAAACAGTAAATTTAATGTTCAATATAATATTGTAAGTCAATGCATGTCTTGAGAGTTTAGTACTGTTCATTTTTGTTTAAATTCTACCAAACAACAATGGGTACTGCCAATATGCCTAAGCTCATCATCTTTCCTATATAGCAGTGCTGATAGCTACACTGAGTTTGTTTAGTTGGAAGAATGGGCCATGTGGAGTCATCACCACACCTTAGACTTGTTGTCGCCATCAACGTCGTCTGTGAGATCTTTAATGCCAAGCTCAAGTTTGGTCTTCTCCCTCAAAAGCTGCTGCTGTTCAGTCGATAGGATATCTTTCTCCTCGCGGGCTGCTGCGACGTCTTTCCGCGCTTCCTTAAGTTTCCTAGAATATTTTTAACTGTTGTAATCATACTGAATGATAACAGACTTAGTAGAATATACAACTAACGAAAATGTTTTCATAAAATTAATAATATAATATATATAATAAATTATAATAAATTAATAATAAGCAAGGCCTATGTTCAGCAGTGGACTCAAACAGGCTGAAATGATGATGATGATGATGAATAATAAGCAGCAAAGGGTATGGTCTCAGTTTCAATCCCATTCTCTGACCATTGTGTAAAAATATAAAAATCAATAATACCTGTTGGCTTCTCTTACATGGTCCTGTGCTTCGCGTACTAAGTCCGCGTAATGTTGCTGTTCTTTGCCACTATTTGATCGCATCTTTTCTAACTGAAAAAGAAAAGGTCTGTTGTTTCATATCCACATGCCTCTGGATGCAAATTATCAACGAAAACATATTAACTTCTTAATATCTGTGTGTAGTATTTGCATGTTTATGACACAAGTTTTGCAATTCTGGTCTTCAATTTCGGCCTAATAACGAGCCTAATAGTAGATACCGGTTGCGACAAAGATGATGATAGTTGCATTACCTAAATCCACATTATTTATAATTCAAAAGTAAATGCAGTAACACCATCTGGATTTTCTTTCAACAGTTGAGTCACTCCTATTATTGAATTCCTACTATTGGATATATTTGATAATCAATAAGAAGGCTACTCCAATAAGAATTTTGTTATAAGTTAAGTTAAATAAACAAATACATAGTTATTACCTCCTCTAACTTTCTTTTGTTTTCTCTGTGCTCCGTGTCGTGTATGATAAATTCGAGAACGCGTCTTGCTCGATCCCATTTTTGATATTCCTTTAACTCCTCTTTCTCCTCTTCAAGTGTTTTAAGACGTTCTTCTATTGTTTGAAGGAATTCATTGATTTTCTCCACCTATGATCGATCAATTTTTAAATTGAATAATAACAGTTATTACAAAATCTAATTTAACATTAATGAGGGGGACAAATTAGAGTTCTATGAAAATATACTTTACAATATTATCATTGTGATTATTTAACATTTTCAGTTAATAATAAGATGCTATAAGATTATCTGTAGTGTTATAGATATTTCACATTTGTGGACTTAATATTGATTTTTCAATTAAAGAAATCTCACAAAAAAATTGTTCGACTTAAAAACCATACCTTGCCTACAGTTTCTTTGAGGATTGTCACAGATTCCTCCCTGCGCTCATCATATACTCGTGTGCCAGCTACTTCACGCAATAACTTTAGTCTGTGTGAATCGGGAGCAATTGCCATTTGGTTGATCTAAAAATTTGTTTATCTTTTATTCAATCCTGTACTCTCAGATAATGAGTTTCCACCGTTTGTATAGGAAATGGCGCTAGGCTGAGGTGGTAAAGCAAGAAGGTGGAAAGATAAATTTAAAATTACCTTAGGACCCCTTTGGATAAGAGGAGCGGCAGACAGAAAGCAGTGGAAAGAACTGAAGGAGGCTCTGTCGTAAAGACATAGAATCAAGATACATTTTATATGTGTCTTCTTAACATTTGTATTCTACTTTATATGTTACTAGCGACCTGGCTTTGCACGGGTGCAATATGTTACACATAAATCTTCCTATTGAATCACGCTATCTAGTAGTAAGAACCGCCATTGCTGGCGTACGTACCGTATGTACGGAGCTTCGATAGCCCATAGGTTACATTCCTCCCATAGATAATGCATGCAAAAAGCTTGTGGGTTTTGACTAGTCAACAAGTTTGGCGTTTGATGAAGCTTTAATAGTCTACTGAAACTAAAAGCTAAAACACCAGTTAAAAGTAATTATATATATGACCACCAAAAAGTCCTCACCTTTCCCTGTTTGACAATGTAGTATGGATTGGAGTTTGACAAACCAGCACTCTCCAATAGATTGAGCACCTCAGAGCGGGGAACAACCTTCTTATTAAGAAAGAATTGATCCTTCTTGGACCCGATGACTCTCCTCAAAAATATTTCATCTTTTTCTATCTGAAGTTTAAGGATTTAAGAAAAATTTAGTAGAAGAGTTAAGAAGTATTTAGCAGAAAAAGTAATCATTTTTCTGCTGATTTTTGTTTTGCAATAGTGTTGAACATGCTTTCTTATTAATAAAAATATTTATAAGGGAATCGCGAATAAGTGAACATATGCTGCACAGTAACCAGTAAAATATTTAACTCATTTTGTTTTTAGAAAAGAAGTAGGGATAGTGATATTTATAGATAATAATGTAAAAGATTACATACTGGAATTCTGTTATCAGAATTGTCAAATATAATTTCAACAAATGCTGAAATAACTCTTGGTCCTGTACCTTCATGAAGCAAGGCAAGTCTTTGTTCGGGTCTGAGATGAGAAAATTCATCACTTAAAACAAATTGAATCGCTGAAATAAAAAAAACAATAGTGAGAAAATGTTTGATTTGTAATACAATACAAGTTGGCAATAATATAATAAAACTGTACACATTTGTTGTTTTTGTCTATTGTTTTGGACATTCGTGTTTCAAATGAATATTTATAAGCAACACAACCTAGATTTAAGCCTTAATATGATTAAATTGAAGTTCAGTGAATGCCAGCTTTACTGTAATGTAGAAAATATCAAATAAGCTCACGATACCTAAAATTATATTCGAAATGTGTCTAAAAATTGTATTAACTTGTATTATTGTCACACACAAATATGTCAAACTTACACAAGTTTACTAGTTACTTACCATGAAAGAAATTACTTTTTCCTGAACCATTACGCCCTACAACTACATTATGACGTTTATCAAAGGGTTCTACGACAATTTGTTCCCGATAACTCTTAAATCCCTGAATAATCACCTGTAAACATTAACAATAATTGCTAATAAGTTGAAAGTACTAACAGATACTAATATCTCTAAACGGAAAGTTAAACTTGTGTTTAAAAAGTTCCATAACTATACCTGTTTAATATGCATTTTTGCAAGGAAATTAATTTAATATGTTAATAAAAGTGGAGAAAACGAAACATTGACCGCCATTTCTTAAGTGACATTAAATTGAAAATGAAAACTATTTACAGAATACAGATTAAAAACAATAATAATGGCGGGTATGTAGTTGTTGCTAAACTAAAAATGCGTTCAGAATTCAGAATTATTTTTTGTTTTGTCGTATAGTGCTGCGTAAGCCCGACTTCGTCAGAAGACTCATGAGAATAATATAGTATAGCTGGTGCACGGCGTCGACATGATGACGCCAACCACTCCAGTTCAATCGAAGCCAGTGACTCCTATAAAATGAAATATTCGGCAATTCGATTAAAGAAAGGGTTACATGGAGGTCTAAACCTTGGTTTGGACCGAGATCGATAGTGAAAACTGTTCGGAGGAAGTAAAATATCAGAATGTGATTAAATCGAGGGACTACGTGAAATACTGTCTATTTTATTCAATCTTGATATTTGCAGAATCATCAAGATATCCTTGATGGAGCCATTAAATTAAAAATTGAATTGAATTGACTACGTGAAATGATTGCTTGCAAAAAATTAATTATTAATGTCTTAATAGAAACAAACACGACTTATGTCTTGTCTTTTTATTTTTTTACATATTAAAATAATTTATTTAATGAGAATAATAATATTTTTACAAAAGTTTTACGAAAATAGTCCATCAATCATCAAGTCAAGCCATGAAAACGCAAAGGCGACATCTCTCGTTCGAATTATCGTTGTAAAAACGATATTCGAAATTCTTTGTATGCTGGAAAGGATATAACAATAGATGCGCCATGTTTAGTCAACTGTTACTATGTTCCACACCAAGTTTGCCGTCCCTTCGTTGAATCTAACGGTGGTAGGGCCACGCAGCAGCCTCGGCTGTTGCACGAATGGGCAGGCCCGTCCGGGTAAGTACCACGACCTCACAGAAGACCAGCGTAAAGTGGAAATGACAAATACTTTCGCGTTTCGTCTGGTGAGTGAGGTACCGGACCCGTGTCCAGTTTTTTTTCAAAAGGTTGTCAACGCATCTGTAACCCTCGGGTGTGGCAGATGTCCATAGGCGGCGGTATTCACTTAACATCAGGTGAACCGTCTGCCCGTTTGACTACTTTTCGCATAAAATAAATAAATAAATAAAAATCTGGTAAGCATGGCATTGCATCAAGTGACGCGGTCCGTTTTTTAAGCCTCGGTCAAATTGTGTGGGATCCACCGCGACCAAATGTTTGTGTAGAATTTATTGTATTTGACTTATGCCGATGTTTAAGGATGCACACAGCACGGCTCACGGCGCACAGCATCGATGTTTTTTTTTGTTCAAAGTGGTGGACGGGCGACCATCGCAAGATTTGTCACTAAGATTGACACGACCGCGCTTGAATTCAGCAAAGCAGCTATAAACAGTCGTCTGGCATGGTGCTTCATCATAGCCCGATACCGTAGGTCAATAAAGTTAAATACGTAGTTGTCGTCCTTGACTTTAAGCTTAAATTCAGCCAGCACGTGACTCAGGTCAAGAACCGAGCAGCCTTCTTACTTGGTCGCCTCTATCTGCTACTAAATAAGATGTCAAATATGTTCCTTCGGAACAAGATAAATTTATACAGGGAGCCTTTTCTAAGTGTTTCCATTTTTTCAAAATAAATTCTAGACATAAATAGCAATATATAAAAAATGATATAATTATTTATCATTTTTTATTTAAATAATTAATTCATTATGACTCGTAATTAATTAATTACATTCATTTTAACTGATGTCAAAAAGATAATGATTTAGGGGCAACTCATTTATTTTCGCCGGTCATTCACAACTAACATGCACACAAGTTCGTTTCATATATATACGACGCATTTATGAATGACTATTACTTTTAAAATATGTAGAAAAAGTACGAAAAGATTGTCGCCGCTCTGGGAATCGAACTCACGTCTTCAGCATTCGCGGCCTGACGCTCTAGCCACTGAGCTAAACGGCTGATAGCCACAGCGACGACAATCTTAACGCTTTCCTTCTACATTGTTATTTACCATTTGAAGCATTTAGAACAGAGATTAGCACTATAAAAAACTTAAAAGAAAAGAGTATTTCATTGTCAACAAGTTCTGTTTTTAAGGAAGTTGTTTTGGGGAAGTTGTTTTGGGGAAGTTGTTTGAGGGAGTTTGTTTTTATTTTAATAAACAATTAAACTCGGTAGTATGCGTCTGAACCTCCTGTGTGAATTCGGGCACCTTTAGAAAAGCCACCCTGTATAAGGCAGTAGTTATATAAGGCACTTACAGACCCACACCACTAGGTACGTTCCGCAGCAATTGGCGTAAGCGAGAGATGCCCTCCTGACGATTATCCTGACGATGAGACGACTATCACCATCGACAGGAAACAGTTATGCAAACACATGAAAACACACCGTACTCGGGGCGAGTGCGGCAAATATATTGTTTATATTAGATTCCGCCACGTACCTGGATGGTTTTCCCCCGTTAATGATAGAAGCTTTGCTGGGGTTTCTTTCACCACTTCTTCTCCTAGCGCCAATGCTTTCCGAAGTGGTAGTAACGATAGCTATAGAAATCCTTCTAGTCAGACTTCAGCTACCGATCGAGAAGAGGTTCGGCCTCCCGGGCACCCTCGAATCGGAATGTTAAATGGGTACTGAGTGACAGCCCAAGCCGAGGTCCCCTCTCGGGGGCCCTTAAGCCTAGTCACTCTATAGAGCGTACGCCAAAGCGTCCTAAGAGCTTAGCCTCCCGATCCGATGAATCTAACATTAATAGCGTGAAGGCCCGAGCCGAGGCTCCCTCGGGAGCTTTCGGCTTAATCAGCAGTACTCGAGATTCAGACTAGGCGCCCTCATCAGCCCTGGATCAACCAATTGGTTGATCCAGCCAAAGAAAAGTGCTTCATCGCCAAAATCACATTGTAGCCGGACAAAGGCCTCCTGTTTAAAGAGTTTATCAGGGCATAGTCATACATAGTATATAGAAATAAATAAGTTTGGCAACGTTGCGTAATAATTTCTCTGTAATAATTTCGTTCTGTTACTCGTATAACGTTATACAAAAAAATTGAAAACGAAATGTTTTCTGAGGTACCGATACCATTATAACGTTATGATATCGTTATAAATTTGGTTATGCATAACGTTTTAAGTCCCTACATGGGACCCCACTGCGAATTGGCGGACTTCACATATTTCCGAAATATTTTTTTTTTGTTATTATTTCGAAAACATGCACGATGTCTTCCGTCACCGCCGACCACGTGATAAGTCAGCACCGGGATTCGAACTCAGGTTGCTCGATTAAATTGATTTAAAGGTGAGCGCCCGGACACTGAGATATCACGTCCTAAAACATTAAATTTAAAATTGTAGAAAATCATACTACGAATATTTTCTCGAGTTAAATCCATTTTTAAATGATGACACGCAATTTTTAAAATGGCGCTACAATGTAAAAACAATTGACAGTCAGATGAAACAAACTTCATTCTACAGCCAAAGGGTTCCATTTTCAAATGTTGTAGCTAGTTCTGAAAACTTTTAGCGCGACCTATGTACGAGAGCCATTTTTACTTTGAAGATATTTAAAGAATAAAAACACATAGATATGTTTTATATCGATTTTTAGTAAAATATCATTCAGATGTAACATTTTTTCTTGCAGATTCAGCCCTTTATAATTAGTTTTATGTTTTTTCTTAAAATTATGATGTCTTATTATGCGTTGCAAAATTATACGTGATATCCTTCGTTATTTTGCGGTAACCATGTAAATTGATTGAACAGACGCGCTAAACAATATTCGTAGAGTTCTGTAATAAACACCAATTTGCTAATATCAAAACATTGACAACAAAACGCGAAGCCTTGGAGAAAACTGCTACAGGTATTTCGTAATCTGATTTTATAAAAAAGTAAATTTATGGGAGGGAATACCAATTCCAATTCTAGTTTAATGGCTCCACCAATAGGGGAGGAAACGCTCCACTTGCACCACTGTTTATTGCAAAGCGTGTTTTTGAAAACATAATTAGGTACTTACGTATTACGTGAAATGATAATTAATCTAACTTATCGACGCTCATTATGGTAACACGAATGAAGAAAGCATCTATGATAGTATTTTTCTCAGATAGTTTTAATTATGACATAATTTTGTTTAAAGGAATTGTTTATTAGTCCTCATTGCGTCATTAGACCAAGTCTATAATCATTGAGGGTGTTTCTATGTATCATTATGATAGACGTTTTGTTACCATGGATAAGATTGATAACTAGGATGTGGCCATTAATAGAAAGAAGTTGGGATGGTTTTTTGCATCAAACGAAAATGAGTCAGGCTCAACTGACGATGAATAAAGTAAAGTAACATCCTATACATATTCTACAGCTGGGTAAAGGTCTCCCCTAAACAAAGGGTATTATTACATAGTCCACCATGCGTCCCCACAGCGAAATATATATATTTTTGTTGCGAAATATATATGCAGGAAAAGGTATAAAAAACCTAGCCTTAATAAAATTCCATTTGTAATTTGTAAGTAAATGAAATTAAAAGAACAAATACCGGTTCCATAGGGTAAAAAAGGGTCAAATAAACGGAAAGAAACATGGAGTGAAGACCGAAAATGGGTTTAAAGGAGACGGACCAATAACAATAACTTGTCGTTAAAACACATCGCAATCTTATCACGCGCGCAAATTGAATCTCATCCAAACATGTATTATTTCCAATTAGTACTTTGGTGGCAATCGTATCAATTGGTGTCGTAGGAGCTGCTCTGGTTTGATTAATATACAAAATACAAACAATAAATTGATCGAGATCACAGTGAACGAAGCGATATAATAAATTATGACAGTGCTACCTCCAACGAACAATATTGCCCGTGATTTGTTCAAAGATTTGGAAAAATTCGGACGTTTTCAAACATTCCAATATATTCTAATATGTCTGCCTCTTGTTATGGTGTCTATGATCCACGTTAACTATATATTTGTTGCTGAAAACATCAATCATAGGTAAAGTATGTTTCATTAATTAATTTTATTTCTTTTTAAATGGTTTTTTAGTCTGAAATTTATAGGAATAAAAGACAAAAACTATTCATATGATATTTGCGACCGAATTTTCAAGGTACCCTGGAGCCAGTCCAAGTTGAAATAGGAAAAGAAATATTGCCTACAGTAACAGCCGCAGCCGATTGCTTGTGCCAATTTATTTGAAAGAAAGTTTTTACTTCCGCTTTTTAAAACTCGTGGTTCGAATTGTGATTTAAAATGTTATTGTACTTTTGAACCATGGGCTAGAAGTGTAATAGTTAATTATATTTATTTGTATTCATACTGCAAACTGGATAAAATAACACCCAAAGATTGGAAACCAGAAAATAGCCAACAAAATTGTCAATTACGGGTATTGACGAGACGGTCATGAATGTTCTAAAATTTTAAATTTTTAAAATTTTAGGACAAACATGACCGTCCTCTTAGCTTGGTGTTTTGGACAAGATGAATCAAAACCGTAATCATTTAATATAATGCAGTTTTTAATTTTTTTAATTTTGTCGTATCAATTTGGTCTTCATCACTGTCTTCGGGACTCGCACCTGACGTTTTAGCCACTAAGTTAAAGGGCTGATTCGATTCCCACAGCGGCGAAAAATGTTTTCGATCCTTTTTTCTGCAAATTTTAATGTTTAATCTTATGTGCAGAGATTAGCACTATGAATAAAAAAAATTCAAAAAAAAAATTCTACAAAAGCAATGGCGACATCTCACGTTCGAATTATCGTTGTAAAACGATATTCTAAATTGTTTATATACTGGAAAAAATATAACAATGGATGTGCCAAGCATTGCTTTAAACGCTAAAAAATAATGTAGATAAAGGACGTTGAGATTTTCGTCGGTGGTGCAATCAGCCGTTTAGCTCAGTAGCTAGAGCGTCTAAGACGTGGGTTCGATTCTCACAGCAGCGAAAAATTTTTCGTTTTTTCTACAAATTTTAATGTTTAATCTTAATAAAAACCCTTTTATAAATCTTCTAATGCTCCCGATTAGTAAATAAATATCTATAAAATCATTAAATATAGTTTACAAACGTTCTTAATTTAATTTTGATTATTTTCGAAATAAATTAACGTAACATTTTAATTTATATCATCATTCGTTTATGATTTTATTTCTTCATTATGTAAGTATTAAGTATAAATTATATTATTTAAGATTTGTGTACTGGGAAAAAATAAGTCAAGATTTCGCAAAACAAGGCATATGCAATTGTAGCATTCGTGGCTGATTTGCCGTCGTTTTTTGAAGAGTTCCGTTGTCTATCTCCCATCATCAGATCTATATGAAATTTAAATGGAACCATTCCGGAATAAAACCATTTCGAACAAAAAAAGAATTTTGCAAATCCGTCTATACTATATGACGGAGTTATGCCCGAACATACATAAAAAAACATAACAGTCGAATAGATAACCTCCTTCTTTTTGAAGTCGGTTAAAAAAGCTCTATCAACTAATTCTTTTATTTTTATCTTCGTGCCTAGTTTGCTAATTTTTTTTTGCCCCACCGGTTCGAAAAGCAGTTTTAAATTGATCAAGTAGAAGACTTAATATCGATTGTGAGATTTTATTACCCCATGAACGACCTATTTAATTTTTGTACACGAAGCAATGGCGTAGTTAGTTTGTTATTATTTATAGGATTTAATTTATGTCAACAATTAAGGTTATGTCTAACATACAAAATATTACATGTGTAAAAATAGTAGCATGTTGTAAGTTGTTACCAAAAAAAAAAGATATTTTAATGTGATTTATCTCTTAGCTATCTTTTTGTTGCGTAATACGTTGTCAATTAATATGATTGCCCTCTATTACCTTCACTTATCAGAGAAAACGCAGGAGTGTAATTCTTCCACGTCATTTTGGTTTTCTGTGTGGCGGTTGTACTTCCCCGAACGATTATGCCCATACTAATACCAGCAAAATCTACCTCAGTCGTTAGTTTCCCAGTGCAGAAAATCTTAAATAACATAATTCATAATAAGTATGTGTAAATAATGAAGAAATAAAATCAGAGAAGTATGATATAAATTAAAACGTTATTTTACTGTATTTTGAAAATTTACAAAATGGATTTTAATTGCGATTCTTTATTTCAATGCCGCCACATTATTCTAAGCCATGATTGATAACTTAAGTCCACAAGAAACAATTTTTTTTTCTATTATATTTTTTTTTGTTTTTAGTATTTTACTATCAAGACTACTCTTACTACCTTTAATCAGTACATGTTTAATTAATCTGCATTAATTATCTTGTATAATTAAGTTAATATGAAACATTTAAATTAATGTAATATTAACATACATTTTAATAAATAAATAAAACGTGTAAATTCCAATGATTAGTGTTAATGTGTATTAATTATGATTGTTTTTACCATTTTAAAGGTACTTTTTAAAATTTGAATTAAATTCATGGTGCCGTTTTTCTACTGTTCTCGATTGTCGCGTGCCAGAGACGGATACGTATATTTAAACAACTAAATGTGCAGATCGTCAATTAATGTTAATAAGTGAAACGTCCCCCGTAATTGATTTTAATGGTAAAACGTTCAAGTGAACATTTATTTCAATAAACAAAGGCAACAGTCATCGATAGGTTATGTTTCTTAAATCCACTAATAGCCAGAACCCACGGGTTTGGGCCTTCCACTGTGGGTAGGGCCGCGCATGTGTTCGTGCGTGCGTTTAACTACGGCATGTTTAAGGGCCATCGAGGTTGCGGTACGGACCGAGACCCCGATGGCCATCGACTGTGTTTTAAGTTAATCGGTGTCTGGGGGCGGTGAGAACCGCCCAGGAACACGGGTGTACTTTGTGTACGCGTTGTGTTGGTCTCGCCGTGCTCGGAGGTGAGGGCGAATCAATGTTTTTGTTGCTACACTAACTGTGTGTGTAGTGATATCTGGCGGCACCCCCGATGGTGGGTCCGACGTACCTAAGTCCCCTTCCTCGGGTACCTTACGCTTACCACCGGGTTGTCGGGTTGTTGATGATGTTCGGCATTATCGAAGAACCGTTTGGTCAGGTCTTTGAAAAATTCGTGAATCGTCGGGAGTCTGCAATCGCTGTGCAGGTTGCGTTGATACCACTGCGCACCGGTTGCGCGGCAGATGAATTTATTTTGCACTACTTGCAACTTGTGCAAACGAGTAGGGTGCGTGTGGGCGAAAATCATGCATGCTTAGGACATGATTGGCCGTACGCAAAGGGTGGTGGTGTACCACTATTGTACGAGCTAGGAGTTAGAGGTTGAAGTGAAACGCCAGTTGTTTAAATGTTCACTTTATTGCTTCCACAAACGTGCGGCCCTCTCGCTCTCGAATCCTCTTCAAATCCTCAATTACTGCTATAGGTGCGATGACTAGTTCCGCACCGATACTCTTGTTATGCGACTCCTATCGCGTGGTCCGTCGTACACTTCTACAGGGGCGACGGACCACCCGTAACCACACCAATCAATATAACTTATTTTAGCGTTACTACCCGTAACTTACTCTCAACCACCGAAGGTTAACTGGAAGGAAATGCTAGTTAACATTAAGTTCGTCTTTTTACAAACTTTTAGTATAATAAAGAATATACAGGCAAACAAAATAAACCAGTCCTCCGCGTACGCCTTTGTCATACCACTTGTCACTTCGCTTTAGTGTTCACTCACCTTATTTTAGGCGGTGATGATACTTGTTCTTGAAAGTTGCTCTCATTGAAAACGAAGCGCTCTCCATTCTCCAAAAGTACGGCCCGGTGAGTTTCTCGTATATGGGGTATCCAAGGAGCTGCCACGTTGCCACGGTGCTGTTGCCATAATGTCCTGTTTGAAATCTTTGCACTCCGTTAAGGGGATGTACAGCACCTTCACTCCTGAGATTAAACATCAACTCATACTGCCTTCACTTATGTAATTGATTGCGGGAACAAAGTTGTAGGTTTCAAAATTAATATGGGCGTTTAATATTTGACTAAGAATGGGCGAATAGGGGATAGATCCGGTGCGAGTCTTAACAATAACTTTCGTGCCGCCATCTTCGGATGCATAATGTGTAGCCATTGTCGTTGTGTACTGTTTCTTTGTGAAGATGTTCAGGAAATTCTTTAGCACTTTTTCCTTTTACCATGCATAGCGATGCAGGGACCGTGAACCATGTTTCGAACTATCATAAAACTTTTTATCTTGTTCGAGATACGGGATCTCGGCGCTTCTTATGTCATCTATTTGGTTGGAGTGTAATTTCTGTATCAACCAATCAATTTCTTCTCATTTTTGGCATTCGATTGAATACATGCAATACGCGGGGTTGCATGTAAAATTTACAAACAACACTAAACTGATTTTGTTCGGATTAGGCTGTTTTGTTACATGATTCATTTGTGGAATTCTACAATGATACCCTCCTGTTGCGTCAATGGATGATGTAGAGCGTAATAACAAGTGTCGGATGCCAGTCACAACGTATTATCAAATTATTAAAACTATATATCTTAATGCGGACTATTCCTAAGAAATTAGGTTTAAAATTAGGTTAGGAAACTAATTAATTCCTCTGAACAGCAATTTCATGAATAAATGGGGCATTATAACGCCTTACGTGCTGTTCTTGAGGATTTTGATCGGCACCTTATAATCCTTCTAAGGCAGGTTCTCTATGGCAGAAATAAAAGTATTGCTTAAGATGTTATGTTCATGCAGCATTCTTTGAATTCTCATCACTGTATCTCTTTATATTCCCTGGATAAACCACAACGACGGTCGACTTCGTCTTTAGTCACCCATAACATTACATTGCAAGTAACGTTCAGTCGTACTATTGAAAAACTTTACTTTCTTACAGGAACCACGTTTATCGAGAAATATATGTTTGAATAATCGCAGGTGCCTTGTGCCGGAATGTGAGGGCCTGAATCCGGGGGTGGAAGTGCCAATATGGTGGCCAAAAGACGTGGATCCGAAGTGTTTCAAGCCTGTATTAAACGTCCGCGCATTCGAGGAGGCCAACAAAACGTGCACAAACATGGTTTTCGAGGAAACTCTGGAGAATTGTCACGAGTGGATATATGAGAATAACGACTCAATAGTCGCCGCGGTAAGTCATGTATTTTATCGGAACATTGAGTAGCGACAGTTTCTGGACAAATCTGATGGTTGTGATCTATTCTTCCGTTAGACGAGAGACGTGGGATGCCTTACTAATGACTTAGAGTCTTTAGGATAAAATTATTCAATGTTGTAAGGACATTTTACAAGCAAATTTCACATGGACTAACATCCAGATGAGAAACAACTATCTGTGGGGCACACAAGTGTCCCGTGTGGGAATCGAACTCACCCCCGACGCTGAAGCCAATACCTTAACAACTGCCAGTCATTGAAGTTAATCATATCTTTGTTTTTATATGAAGAGTTATGGTGGTAGGTTTGCCGTGTGGTGCCGGCGTAAGATTGCCGTGTGGTGCCGGCGTAAGAATAAGCCACCCCATCTCATCCCGTGGGTGTCGTAAGAGGCGACTAAGGGACAAGCCACAAACATCTGGTGGCCACCGATAGATGGCGGGATAACCATCTCGACTCTCCAGACCCTAAATAACCAGGCCAATAACGGGCAGCAGCTTTATAGGTGCGAGGAGTCTGGAGGAACTGCGGTTGCCAACCCGCTTGCCAGGCGTGGCAACTATGGCACAACCCCCCCCCCCCCATGATAGAAGTCCAAAATGTGCGGCCCCCAGTCCCCGGCGGCCCTGCTATTCCTGGCTACGGTAGCGGTCATGGTAACGGCAGGGCAGGGGGTGCTAGGAATCCCCGGCTAGGATTCGGCTACCAACGACGGCGACTGGACCTGGCAACATACAACGCAAGAACATGGAGGACTGACGAGAAGATTACAGAGCTGGAAGAAGAGGTGAACAGGCTGCGCTGGGATATAATAGGATTATCTGAAGTCCGAAGACAGGGGGAGGACACGATAATCCTCGAATCCGGCAACCTGTTTTACCACCGGGAGGGCGACCAACTGTCCCAAGAAGGTGTCGGATTTATCGTCCACAAGTCTCTCATTAACAACGTTGTTAAAATCGAGGGTGTGTCGTCGAGGGTTGCGTACCTTATACTCAGAATATCCAAACGGTATTCGCTGAAGGTCATACAGGTTTACGCACCAACGTCGACACATCCCGATGATGAGGTGGAGGCAATGTATGAGGATATATCACGAGCCATACATTCCTCCAAAACTCAGTACATGGTGTTAATGGGAGACTTCAACGCAAAACTAGGCAAAAGGAAAGACGATGAGCTGAGAGTAGGTAGTTTTGGAATAGGGCAACGGAACCCAAGGGGGCAGCAGCTGGGTGACTTTATGGAGAAGGAGCAAAAAGCAGCCCCACAGAAGTGGACCTGGACTAGCCCCGAGGTTCTGTAAAAAACGAGATAGACTTCATTATGACGAACAAACGGCAAATATTCAATGATGTCTCTGTGATCACAAGGGTGAAGACCGGCAGTGATCACCGATTGGTGAGAGGCACATTGAATATTAACATCATCATCTAATGAAGTCCACACTCCGACCATCTCGTGCCCATATCCAGAACTCCGAAAGTTTTCAGCTCGAGCTACATAATCGCTTCCAATGCCTAGAAAATTCCAGCACGGTGGACGATATTAACGCTAAACTCGTGGAAACTGTCCATGCCGTGGGCCTTAAATTTTATAAGGCCCGCCGGACAAATAGAACGCAAAAACTCTCCGATCACACTCTTAACCTCTCGGGAAAAAGACGTGAGATGTGGCTGCAGTCTTTACCTGACATGTCAGACTACAGGCGGTTTAATAGGCAGATCTCCAAATACATGCGGCGAGACTTACGCAGCTTCAATACAGCCCGTATTGAGGGAGCTATAGAGCGGAACCTAGGCTCAAAAGTCTTCGCCAGAGATCTGTCTATCGGACAAAGCCAACTGACTAAGTTGAAGACTGACAGCGGAGCTATCATCTCCAGTATACCAAAGGTTTTGAGTGAGATTGAGAGGTTCTATGGACAGCTGTACACATCGTCGTTGGAGCAACACACATGTGTGAGTAACGACCCAAGAGCAAAGCTTATCCGACACTATTCCGAGAATATCCCGGACGTCAGTCTGAGCGAGATTAGAATGGCTCTTGACCATCTTAAGAATGGCAAGGCATCGGGAGAGGGCGGAATTACAGCAGAGCTTATGAAAGCGGGTGGAGAACCAGTACTTGTAGTCCTTCAGAGGCTCTTTAATTCCGTCCTTCAGGGTGGTGCTACACCAGAGGCGTGGAGCAGAAGTGTGGTGGTGCTGTTCTTCAAGAAAGGCGATAACGCTCTCTTGAAGAACTATAGACCGATTTCCCTTCTGAGCCGCGTCTATGTGCTGTTCACAAGAGTCATCTTGAATCGTCTCGCTTCCAGACTCGACGACTTCCAGCCTCCCGAACAAGCCGGATTCCGAAAAGCCTTCAGTACCATAGACCACATACACACCTTGCGGCAGATTATACAGAAGACCGAAGAGTATAATCTGCCTTTGTGCCTAGCGTATGTGGACTATGAGAAAGTCTTCGATTCTGTCGAAATTTGGCCGGTACTCCAGGCTCTTCAGCGGTGCCAATTTGACTGTCGGTATATTGAAGTGCTGCAGTGTTTGTGTAATAAGGCTACGATGTCCGTCCAAGTACAGTCCAGTAGTACAAAACCTATCCAACTGCAGAAGGGTGTAAGACAGGGTGATGTCATATCCCCGAAACTCTTCACTGCTGCGTCAGAAGATGTTTTTAAGCTTCTGGACTGGAAAGGACGAGGTATTAACATCAATGGCAAATACATCACCCCACTGCCGACGATATAGTCATCATGGCAGAATCGCTGGAGGACCTGGGTGCTATGCTCAATGACCTCAACAGTGTCTCCCAACGGGTGGGCCTTAAGATGAACATGGACAAGACGAAGATCATGTCTAATGTCCATGTCACGCCTATACCGGTTATTGTTGGGAGCACTGAGCTCGAAGTTGTTGACGAGTACGTTTACCTAGGACTGTTAGTCCGGCTAGGTAAGTCCAACTTCGACGCAGAGGTCAATCGGCGAATCCAACTCGGATGGGCAGTGTTCGGGAAACTTCGGCAAATCTTCTCGTCGAATATACCTCAATGTTTGAAGACTAAAGTCTTCAATCAATGTGTGTTGCCAGTGATGACCTACGGAACCGAGACGTGGTCCTTCACTGCTGGTCGTATGAGGAAGCTCAAAGTCGCTCAGCGAGCTATGGAGCGGGCTATGCTCGGTATTTCTCTGCGTGATAGAGTTCGTAACGAAGACATCCGCAGTAGAACTAAGATAACCGACATAGCTCAGAGGATTAGCAAGCTGAAGTGGCGATGGGCCGGCCATATAGCTCGTAGAACTGATAACCGTTGGGGAAGAAAGGTTCTCGAGTGGCAGCCTCGTACTGGCGACGACACCCCACTAGATGGAGTGACGACCTGTACAAATGTGCGGGAAGTCGATGGATGCAGGTGGCTCAGGATCGTGCTTCATGGCAGTCTGTGGGGGAGGCCTATGTTCAGCAGTGGACTCAAACAGGCTGAAATGATGATGATGATGATGGTGGTAGGGCCACGCAGCAACCACGACCGCACAGAAGACCAGCGTAAAGTGGAAGTATATAAAAATACTTTCGCGTTTCGTCTGGTGAGTGAGGCAACCGGAGCCCAATTTCATCCAATTTCCAAAAAGTTGTCAACGCTTCTGTAACCCTTGGGTGTGGCAGATGTCCATGGGCGGCGATATTCACTTACCATCAGGTGAACCATTTGCACTTTTGGCAACTTTTCACATTAAAAAAAGCGGGAAGGCGGTTCACCTGTTGTTTCACATAACAACAGATGTCAGTGGGCAGCTGTATTCACATATATGCAAAGCGAAAATTTTTTCGCGTTAAATTCATTTTTAAGTGTAACAAGACTTTTGGGATTTAAAAGAAGTTTACATTGGCAATGTGTCCAACTGGCCAGTTCTAAAAACTTTAATTGTCACCCTGGTAATAAATAAATAGTTTGTAGGTAACTTATTGCTACAATACAAGTTTGTCTAAAATATCTAGTCAATTTAAAATATCTAGTGATAGGTATTCAAAATTTCAAACTAAGTTGTCTATGCTCACTCAGGTTACCCAGGTTACAAACGATCTGAGAACACGAATTTATATCAAATCACTTTTAGTAACTTTTAGTAAATTAACTGGACGAGATTGTTGTCATATTATTCTATGTTAGAATCTTACTTCCATATCTTCGTTATTATTACCAGACGTAGAATATACAGTTTATTTGTTTCGATCAAATGTTTCCACACGATTAATGTTTAATTTTAGAAAGAGTCAAGTAAGAGAATGTCCGGACAAATGTTTCTACCAAACAATTAAATATCTTATAACAAAATGCATTAAGATAAATATTTGCAAAGCGGAAATATTCTATTTGCATTGTTATTTTTCAAGACACAGGCAGCTGAGTTCTTTATCTTAAATTCACTTGAGAGCTTAAGAAGGTGGTAATTATTTGTTCATTCATTTTATTTTTGTATAAACGTTAACGTTCTATTTAAGATCAAATATTTATTACTCTACTCATCAATACAAATAATACAATTACTAAAATTGGAGTGTCTGTTTGTAATATTAAAATAACCGCTTTTTACTAAAAATATAATATGGATGTATAAACGGTACATATACCAAAATAAATTTTTTTACAATTTTTGTCTCTCTGTCTGTTTGTTCCGGCTAACCTCTGAAACAGCTGGACCGATTTAGACGGGACTTTCACTAGCAGATAGCTGATGTAATAAGGAGCAACTTAGGCTACTTTTATATTAGATATTTTTTTATTTTAAATTCCACGCGGACGTTGTCGCGGGCACTGCTGGTATTAATATATATTTAAAATTAGCTTTTCGCTCGCGGCTCCGCCCGCATGCACTACAAAATCAAAATCAAAAATATGTTTATTCATATAGACGCTTGTGCGTTCATATGAAATGTCAAAATTTTACATAAAACTTAATACGTTCGTAAGTTACCACCGGTTCTGTCGAGAAGAAACCGGCAAGAAACTCAACAGTTGCTCTTTTTTAAAACTATTAGTTTACAATATAATGGAACAAGTATGTTTTATTTAAGCCTACGTGAGTATCAACAGTATTAACCCCACACATTGGCGTCGTCAAGATATTCCGCAATGGTATAATATGCCTTTACCATAAGTTCACTTTAATTTTGCGTTTAAATTGATCTAGTGGCGGACTTAATATCGACTGTGCGATTTTATTATACATGCTCACACTTTGCTCCATGAACGATCCATACTTTTTGTAGACGAAACAATGGCGTAATTAATTTGTCCTTATTTCTAGTATTTAATTTATGTCTGTCACTATTCTTTAGGTAAATTATGATTATAGGTAATTAAGATTATGTCTAACATACAAAATATTACAATAAATATATTGAGACCCAACAGTGAGTTTATTAATCTCTTTAAAAAGATCTCTGTGTGTATTCCGGGCTCCGATGTTATAGATTGCTCGGACAACTGTTTTTTGAAGAATAAATATAGAATTTATATCAGATGCACTACCCTACAACAAAACGCTGTGTCGATGTCTGTTAGCTGCCTAACCTTCCTTCCGGAGCTTAGCCTGAGATGATAGATAGAGATGATAGATGAGGACTCCACTGGAGCTTTGAATCTACTGTAATCCCCAAGAAAACAGCGGACTCAACAGGATTGAGGGATATGTTATTTAATAATAAACTAAAACTTTGCCTTCTTACACTAGGAAGAGTAAATTTTGACTCCATTTTATATAGTGCTTAAAAGTAGCCTTTCTCAGTAAATGGGCTATCTAACAGTGCGCGAATTTTGTAAATCAGATCAGTAGTCCCTGAGACTAGCAAGTTGAAACAAACAAACTCTTCAGTTTAATAATATTAGTATGGATATCCTCTTATTTTTGGCCGTCCCATCATTACTAAAATACTTTCTACTGCGGTTCAGGTCGATATCGGCCCACCGCTTTCCTTGGTTCCTGGCTAATTTCGGGTTTAGCAGATCAAGGGGCGAATCAAACCTGTTGAGTTCAAGGTCATTATAACAATGGAAGAATTTTAATATACCCAATGCTGGTGAGTTAGTCTGGCCGTCGGTCACCAGGCTGTATCTCATGAACCGTGATAGCAAAACTGTTGAAATTTTCACAGATGATGTATTTCAGTTGCCGCTATACCAACAAATACTAAAAAACAGAATAAAAAGTATTTAATTGGGGTACACATACAACAGAAATGATTTTGTTACCTTTTTCATAGATAACTAGCGACCCGCCCCGGCTTCACTTTCTCTCTATTCAATCACTATATTTAGTAAAAAAAACCGTATCAAGATCCGTTGCATAGTTGTAAAGATCTAAGCGTACATAGGGACAGACAGACAGCGGGACGACTTTGTTTTATACTATGTAGTGATGCACATCAAAGAGACGTTTACATTTCAAGTGACATTTTACCACAGTCACTCACTTGTATTGCCTTCCCGGAACCCCTCCACTCTATATAAACTTACAATTAATCATTTTACTGAGCTTAATAAGAATATATAACTATAGTTTCATCCAATTCAACTGTAGCTATTATATAGCATTTTATCGCACAAATCTTCAATGTGGTTCTTTAAGTTGATGTAATTTTTTTATTTATAAACCGATTTAAATGAATCTGTCACTAAATGTTTAGTGAAGCTTACTTCAAAGCATTAGTGAAAGTTGCACCCAAATCGGTTGAGCCGTTTGTGAGATTAGCGCGCATAAACGCACAGAGAAACATACAAACAAACAAAATTTTTTTTGTTGGTAAAGGCAATCAATAATAGCATTTCTCAAATATCTTTCATGTACAGACAACGATCAGCTACACTTTTATTATATGTACAAAGAAGATAAGTTTATGTTCAAGATACATACGACTAAAAGGCAAAACAAAGACACAAGTAAATGTTGATGCGTATGTAATTGCCGATATAATATTTTGGCAAGATTTATTTACCGGTTAATAACAACTTTATGAAATTTAACTATAATTCCAAGTTATTTAATTAGAAAGCTATCAATTACATTTAATTTCTATTTAAGAAACAATACTACACATACCAAAAATTTCATCCACACCACTTCGATGTCCAGCGTTCCACAACAGAGCGATTTTCAAGGTATTTTCTGCCTCGCACAATGGAACTCTGTGGAACCAGCTGCCGCCGGCGGTCTTTCCGTACCGTTACGACCTGGGAACCTCCAAGAAGAGAGCATACTCTTTCCTTAAAGGCTGGCAACGCATTTGTAAGCCCTCTGGTGTTACAGGTGTCCATGGGAGGCGGTGTTCACTCACCATCCGATGAGCCTCCTGCTCTTTTGCCGCTTTTAGCCTATAAAATAGACTTGTGCACGCACGCAATATAAGAAGTGTACACAAATACTTTTTGTGATGTTAGTTACATTTGCAACCCGCCTGTTGTAGGCGGTGGTAATCACTTAACATTAGGTGAAGCACTTGCTATACGGGCAGTCAACTTATAAACAAAAAAAGAGCAACCGTGATGATCGTCGATTTGTTATCATCGTAGAACAGAATTACTTACACAGAATGCTCTACCGATAGTCCTCTTCGTTAGTTTTTAGGTACAATATATAACTGTACATAACTTTCGTAAACAAAACTCATTGCTGTGAACAGATACATAAAGTAAAGTAAAGTAAAGTAACAGCCTATACATGTCCCACTGCTGGGCAAAGGCCTCCTCTATACAGAGGGTATCAGGGCATAGTCCACCACGCGGCCCCACTGCGGATTGGCGGACTTCACATATCTTCGAATAATAAGATAAAAGCTAAGCTGATAAGTCAGCACTTAAAGTTAAAAACTTCATTGGTGCCGGCACCGGGGATCGAACTCAGGTTGCTCGAGTATATTGAATTAAAGGCGAGCGCCCGGACACTGAGCTATCACGGCTCTGGTACTTCAAACTACTAAATATCGATTTTGCATTTGCCAAGTACAACAGGTACTTGGCAAATGCAAAATCGATATTTAGCTCATATTACATGACTTGCGGTCGTGATTTTTTTAAATTATTTATTTTTCAGTTAAATCTCGGTTGCCAATCATGGAAGCCTACATTAGTTGGCAGTATCCACAATGCCGGAATGATTGTTTCAATGATGATAACAGGATGGATTTCGGATAAGTAAGCACCGATAGTTTATATCTTTTATTTAGTGAATAAAATTTAATACGATACTGCAAAATGACATAATGATAAATTTAATTGTTTAAAACTGGGTAGACAGGCGTATTTTGCTATAACTGATAACATAAAATTCGATATATGACTTAGAGTTATCAAATCCCATGTTTATTTTTTAAGTATTTATTAAATAACTTTAATATAATAATTGTTATAAATATATTTATTATTAATTAAAATATATTTTCAGGATAGGTAGAAAACCTACTATCATCGTTTGCTCTATCGGAGGCTCCGTAGGAGTGTTCAAAGTATTGGTACAAAATTACTACGCGTATTTAGCCCTGGAATTTCTGGAGTCCATACTTGCCTCAGGACTTTATACCGTCGCAGTTGTTTTATGTAGGCACCTCTTTACTTTTTTTGTTAATTGTTTAGATAATAATTTGTTTTTAGGAAAAATTAAACCCCCTGTCTACTATGGCAACATTTTGCGTTGGTGTGGATTAACTGTTATATAATAAATCTTCTAATTTATTTCCAGTAATCGAAGTGGGAGGAGAAACAAAGAGGGTCTCAGCAGGAGTGATATTCTCTTACGCGGTGTACGTTGGAGAGGTTTTGTTTGCGTTCATTGCTATGGGCCTTAAATATTGGAAAACGTTAATATTAGTGGTTTACACGCCGATGATCCTATTTCTTGCATATGGATTCCTTTTGCGGGAAAGTACAAGATGGCAGATGTTGCGCGGGAGGATGGACGAAGCTAAGGAGACTTTGAAGGCTATAGCGAGAGCAAACAAATTAGATGTTACATCGAAGGAAATCACAGATATAAGCGATGGCGAGCTACGCATGAGATTCAACGTAGCCGTGCAAAAAGAGAAGGAAAAAATGAAGGATATATTAAATTCAAAGGAGATCATGATTCGAGTGTGTGTCACATCAGTATGCTTTTTCTCGTCCAGTTTCATTTATTACGGGATGGCGGTACATTCAGTACTACTGCCCGGTAATAAATATACAAACTTCGTTCTCACTTCCATAACATCGTTTCCCGGGGATTTGTTGGCGTATTACACATTCAATAAGTTTGGCAGAAGAATTTCCTTGCAATGCGGATATATTGTGTCGGCCATATTTCTGATGGCACAAACATTTATACCCAACGGTAATCATGCGAATGGAAATAGAATAATCAATGTTACATTATGTAATTCATTTTAATTAATATTAATCATTATCTGTTTTATTCCTCAGATAAAGTTTGGTTGAAGGTTTTGCTGTTTTTAACGGGAAAAATTGGAGTAGTTGTGTGCTTCACGGGGATATACACTTACAGTTTAGAGTTGTTTCCAACAAGTGTGAGAGGTTCGTTAGTCGGTTGGGGCAACACTGCAGCGAGAGTTGGAAGTATGCTGGCTCCCCTGACTCCGTTATTGGTAATAATATCTCATTTATTTTCCCCTTATTTTCTTTACACATGAATTAAAACAAATATGAAATAGTAAAATTGTAAAAATACTAATAAAACATTTTCACTGTTAAGTTATAAATAACATATTTCTGTTGAAATAAGTTATTATGTTTTATAGCGTCGCCAGCATTAAAATTGCTTTGATTGGTAGGGATTAGGTTTAGTCTCCACCAACAATACATTCCTCAACCTTTCGACCCTTGACGTCGCACAAAAGTATAACTAGTTATGATCACTTAGTTACGAACCAAATTATGGATGAAAAAGTTTACGAGTACATTAAACTCATAGCGTAAAGTGTTTATGGTGATGTACAATTTAAACTATTAGTAATTATTAATTTGCCTTGTACTGTATATGTCGACCTGAATAAAAACAACAACCTACTGTTAGGGCGTTACAATTACTTTATTGCCACCCCAATTAATCGATATATCTGGTATCACTACGTTAAGGTCCGGAACAGCTTACGCTGTGGGCAGATGCGGGGAATTACCACGGCCTCTCAATGGACCAGCGGGAAACGAAAGTATTATACTTTTGCATTTTGTCTGTTAGTGAGGTAACCGAGGTCTACTTTTGTTAACGGACCTGCAAGATCTCAGTTTTGTAGATGTCTACAGAAAGCGGTTTTCACATTATATCAAGAAATTACTCGTATCTCTATAGATTTGGTACATGGTGGAATATTTTTTTATTATAATAATATTTACATTGTATAGTCTTTCTATTTTATTTATTATAATGAATTAAAGTTATAATTCGTTGTTTCCAGTCTATGGAATTGGCATCATTACCATCGATACTGTTCGCATCTACGGCAATTGTAGCAGCTTTGCTATTAACCTTCACCCCGGAAACTAAAAATCTACCGCTATTTGACACCATAGCGCAGATAGATAATCATCAGGAAAAAATAACCACACATTTATAGACAAATAAAATAAAAAGTGACTTCAAAAAGGAGAACGTTCTGAATGTATAATGTTGTTCAAACAGATGTACTTTTTAAGTTTGTTACCTTATAACGTGTAGTAAGTATTTGAAGTAGGCTTTGTTTTTTTCTTATTAATGCTGGACTTGTTGGTGTCGTGTTAACGATATTTAGAGCTTTATGATACAAATGTGTTGTTATTTAATGAAACTATTTGAAGGGTTTTTTTTGCGGTTTTATTTTCAACTGACTGCAAAAAAGGAGGGGGTTCTCAATTCGAATGTATTTTTTTAAGTTTTTTAGCTCAGAAATTTCGACTTTGATGATTCTTTTTTTTAACTGAAAGCTGGTGCTTTCTATATGGTCCCATTTTAATTTCATTTGTGTTGGATCTTGGCTCCAAAAATACTTAGGGAACTCCTGAAAATCAATTATAGAATGAAAACAGAGCGAGATATTTGAAGTCGAATTTAACCTCGAAAACATTTACGTCGGTATAAATACAATCATGTGTGATTTTAATTTATTAATTACGCTATTTTTTATGTTTTCATATATTTATTGTGTTTTATATTAAACCTATTTCGTCATACAATCTGATCGATCTCTTAATTTTTTAATCAAATGATTTGGATATACCTAAGTACTTATTCACTTAACTTAATGTAAAGATTTGATGCTTTGTTTTAAATATCGATAGATATTTAAAACAAAGCATCCGATATCAGAAAATAAATAGGAATAAACATAGAAAATAAACAGTTACTATAAACGTTTTGTTTATTTATATATTTATACAAAACTAAAAAGTACCCAAGTCCATTGTGTTCCGGAGTATGGATAGGTATAACGGTAGGTATTCATTGTAAGATCCCAAACTACAACTCTTATGTAGGACAAAAAAGTACACTTAAGTACACTTTGTACTTATTTGTGAAAACCATGAAAATATTACGGTGAATGTATCGGTTTGTACTAACAATATTTTAGTAGGTGACCTACCTAGTAAAACTATACATATACTGTATACATTTCTAACATTATTTACAGTCTATGGCATTGGTACACATAATTACAATAATTGCTCGATAAGAAAAATTGAAGCGATCGAGAATATCATTATGTTCTTGGGCGGGGATGATGAAAATGTTGCTTGGGAATTTTGGTTTGGCACACCGTACCTTCAGTTGAATTCACGCTTCCCACACATGGTAGCTGTGCTCGAACTCGAATTCCATTTATCCGTGGGGACTGGGGTTATAATACAATAATAATACCAGAGACAAAGTACCTATCTGAATGTTATAGAAAGACTAGTTGATACAATAATTTTGAAGTGTCTATTCCAACCAAACAGTTGAATGGAATTCTGCTTTATTAGGAATTATATTCAATATCTAATATGATATATTGGAAGAGAAATTATAAGATGATCTCCGTAGAAAATCTTATTTCATAGTGACCCTGGAACCATTAGACTTACGCCCGGTTTCTGAAACACTGATCATCGCAGTAGTTAACCAATCAGCTGTCAAATGGCTTTTCGAATGTTATTTGAGTTGCCAAAAGGATGGTTAAATTCTTTGAATTGATCATTATGAAGATAATTCTGAATCCACGTATTCGTCATGGTGTATGATTAAGGTATGATTAGAGAGTAAGGTCATGGTGTATGATTTTAGCTACTAGGTTGTGTCTATGGAGATACTCACGCCTTCTGAAACACTGATCATCGTAGATGTCAACTAATCGGCTGTCAAATGCCTTTTCAGATGTTATTTGAGTTACAAAAAGGATTGTTAAACTCTCTGAATTGATCAGAATGATCTTCTTAATGTTCAGAATTATTATCTTGGGGATTTCTCGATATAAACTATTCATTATTAATTATATAATTATAATACATTTATTATGACTTTATATTAATTACGTTTTATTAATAATCTATGGCATATCTTCGCAGCCAAGATCCAATTTTTTAATACCAACGTCGACTGAGACTTGGTCCTTCTATGCTGGCCATATGCGGAAGTTTAAAGCTGCTCAGCAAGCTATGAGCGGGATATACTCAGTATTTCTCTGTGTGATCGAATTTGCAATGAAGACATTTGCAGTAGAAAAAAGTTATCTGACAGAGTTCAGAGGCTAAGTAAGTTGAAGTGGCCTGCCACATATCGTGAAGAATCGATTACCGATGGGGATTAAAGGTTTGGAGAGGCAAACTCGTATTTGGCATCGTGGTACAGGACAATGCCATATTAGATGAAGTGACGACTTGTGCATGTGTACAAGAAGTCAATGCATGCAGGTAGCTCAGGATCGTGCTTCGTGACGGTTAATGAGGGAGGAATATGTTCAGAAGTCGTCTCAAAAAGACTGAGCTATTGATGATGATTTAAGTTATATCACGATTTTTCTCTTGTTTCTACTATGAGTAACCTGGGTATGAACGGTGTTCCATACAAAACAATCAATTTGCTTGGGGCATTTTCTGTGTTTCATGTCAATTCAAAATTGATATTTAGTTTTTTTAGTATATTTTAACATAAACCTTTGCAATATTTGATAGACATATTTTCCTATTTTAAAAGACTACTATATTTATGCCATCAAAATAAAAAAGATAATAAAAATTGAGATTATTATTTTCATTCAAACATTGGTTGTCTGTACGTTTATAGTAATCTGTATTCATAGTGAAAAGAAAGAGAAAGACAATTTAGACTTTTAGAAAGATTAGACAACTGAAAAGTGGTTCGAGTACGGCGAAAAGGTTAGGATTTTTATAATTATTGTATGTAAATAAATTGAATAAATACTTTTGTAACTGAAAATGGAGGGATTTGAGATAAGAACAACTAACAGCAAAAAGGTAAAATGTTATTTCAAGTTTCTATAAGTACGTAATGAACGAAGAAATTAAATTACTCGGCTTTTAAATATTTATTTACTTTTAGGGAAAGGGTTTATTTGCTACTAAGAAGTACGATAAGGGAGATATTATACTTGAGGAAGATCCCTTAGTTTCGTGTCAATTTACTTGGAACGCCGCGTATAAGTATTTAGCATGTGACTACTGCATGAGGTAAGCTTTGGTTAATTAAAAAAAATATATTGGGGTTGGGTTTTGAAACGAGTCGCCCGAATTCAAGTACACTGTAAGCTTGGGGGGGTTAAGGAGGTTCGTACCAAGAACTCTAACGCATTTTTTTCTGCCGGAGACGAGAAAAAAAATTAATTAGCTATTTTTTTATATACCTATCCAAACTATAACGAACGTACAGTTCCTCCAAAAACAATAGCCATAATTTTTTTTTTCTTTCAGACCGCTAGAAACGCCGGAACAGAATGTAAGACGCTTGTCATGCAAACCGGATATAGTCCTGCCTCATGCTAGTTGTTTTGAAATTAATTTGGAAAATGTAACTACTTGTGATGAATGTGGGATTTTATACTGCTGTGAAGACTGCAAACAAAAAGCTTACATGACATATCATAGGGCTTTATGCTATGACACAACTGATGCACAACATCCTATTATGGTTCTATTGGAGACCTGGAAGTTAGTATGGACTCTTTTTTTTTTTACTTGTTCAAAAGTAGAAAAGTAGCTTTACTATCTTAATTGTTAATAATTTTTAGTGTTTCAAGCTTATAAAAAATTTAATCATTAGAATAATGTCATTTATGAAAGTTTATAAGCAAAATCTACAAAAACAGCTAGATTATGTTATGGTAATGATTTTACTATTTTTGTAGTATTTAACACTTCTCTTTCTCCTGCCCTTATCCCGCACTAGGTTTTCACAACATCTCTTCCTTCAACTTTCCTCTATCAGCCGTCATTTCAATACTCACCTCACAGACATATTCTTCACAGTCTATCCATATCTTTGTCAGTCTTCCTTTAGCCATATAGGGTGTATGATAACAACAAAATATTACCTACCACAATACCTTCGGTATTTAACTACATTTGCTATATTATATTGCCTAATCAGTACTTACCAACTGTGTATTTATATTTTGAAGTCAATAAAATGGTGAATTTTCTTAGTAAATTATTTTTAGTGTGATTTAAGTTTTAATTTTTATGTATTAAAAGTAAGTATTTTCATAAATAATTATTAACTTATGAATTATTGCATTAGTGAAATTTCTCTATCGATAAAATTTTTTATAAGCTTGAAAATATTGTCTAAGATTGTAAACAATTGCCATCTTTTTTGTGTTATCAACTCTTTGTTTTATCTTTCAGACAAATGCACTACCCACCAGAGACAACAAGCATTATGCTTTTAGTAAGAATATTGGCATACATAGAGCAGAGTCCAAACCCTACTGTAGCGGCTGCAGCAGTTAAGAATTTTTGTCATAGAACAGTAAATGAGGATGCTGAGCTAGTTCATAAGTTATTGGGAGAACAATTTACTGAGCAATTAAACACTTTAAGAGAGTTAACTGCTAATGTTATTAACGGAGATCATATTCAAGAGGTAACGACAGCCAGAAGAAAACCTTCCTATAAAATTGTTTTTTCCTAATATATGCTTGTTATTAAAGAAAGATGTGTGTATGCACTTATGAAGTTAGACTTCTTTAGCATAACAAAAGGAAAATATTAAAATTAGTAGAAAAAGTACGAAAAGTTTTGCGCTGCTTTGGGAATCGAACCCACGTCTTCGGGATTCGAGCCCTGACGCTATAAGAAAAATAACTTAAAAATTTTACTCCCTCTGCCAGTAATCTTTGTATGTGAAAGAGGCACCAAATGCAATAATTAATAACAGTACCTATACAGCGTGTCGGTACCATCGCGACAATAAATGAACACACGGCTAACGCTACTTGCCAATAATCATAAAAAAATATTAATGTTAAACAAAATCCATAATTAAAAGAAAATATTTTTCAAACAAATTAATTAAGTAAAAAAGAAACAAAATTTGTAACATCCTATACAACTCGCGCCACAGCGTCGTATTACAAGCCTCTCCTTCTAACAGTATGTTTTGTCTCTTTTAAATTCATTCAACCCATTCATATGCTTTGTGAACTTTACGAATGAACTTTAGTTACAGTTTTATATGTAAGGGTTTTGTAAAATTCTTTGTTTTGGAAAATTTAATAACTCTGTAAATATTGATGTTTAAAGTATGTAAATGTTTAATACAATTTTAAAAACTTATCCTCTATATGTGTGTTCATTTATTGTCGCGATGGTAAAGACACGCTGTATATTAGAAGATAGATTAAAGATTTGGCTGGGTTGCATTGCTGAACTTGTTTTAAATTTTTTTTTTAAACTTTCAGTTTCTAACACCGGAAGGCTTCTGTTCTCTAATGGCACTAGTAGGTACCAATGGTCAGGGTATCGGAACCAGTCCTTTGGCCATGTGGGTAAATTCTGTTCTGGAGTTGACAATGTCTGATGATGAACAACAACAAATTGACTTATTTATTGATAAACTGTATCAGTATGTGGAGGAAGGTGAGCGGACTGGTTTATTTTAATTTTTTAACCTAAGATTGTCTTTCAATATGAAATATGTAAGAATTTTTAGAGTAGCAACATGGTAAAAGTCCATTTAGTATATTTTAATGATTATTTACTAAAGTGCACTAAATATGGGTTCAACCGTTTTTAATACCGCGTTTACATACAGTTTAAACCGGTAATAACAAATTTGGCGCAGACGAAGTTGCGCGGGCCAGTTAGTATTTGTATATGTATTAATTTACAAATAGAAAAGTATGCTTAAGCATATTTATCAGTTATCTAGTGCTCATAGTTTGAGACCGGAGAATGTTGTGTAAAAACGTGTCCTAAAATACTATTTATTATATATTAAAAAAACTTTTTTTTTGATTTTTTTCTCATAACTAGTATTATTATTGTGTAATAGTAAGTGGACTATTACTAAAATCGACTATATTATTTATAAAGTTTTGTTACTTGGAATAACTTTTATGTTTTCTTTTCTAGAATCTGGTACATTCCTGAACACTGAAGGCTCTGGTCTATACCGTCTGCAGAGCGCCTGTAACCACAGTTGTGCACCCAATGCTGAATCTTCCTTCCCCTATGGCAATCACAGGATACAATTGAAAGCCATCAAGCCAATTATGCCAGGGGATGAAATTTGCATTAGTTATCTGGACGAATGTTCATTGCAGAGGTCCAGGCACTCTAGACAAAAAGTAAGCTTTAGTTTATGAACTTTACAACCAATACATTATGAGCAATTAAACTCCAGTACCTGGAACGTTTTTTAAAAATGAAACATCTGGACTCGAACCGGGATTGATTTATTGCCTAAAATATAAATAACCTGTACAATTTTACTGTGCATTCGAACTGTGTGTGCGTTATTCATTGCCTGATCGCGCGTAAAATAAATGAGTTGCATATAAATAAATCACGCACTTTTTGAGATAAGTTCAAATGAATGTAATTAATTACTTACGAGTGATTTTAAATATTTATCATTTTTTATAATATTGTCTAGAATTTAATTAAAAAAAAATGGTTACACTTAGAAAAGCCAGATAGATTAGATTAGTGTATGAAGGAATGACCAAATTTTAAACTGATAAAAGCAATATGGGAATAAACAAGTTTTGGGTGTAGCCATATCCGTGGTAGTGCCACCCAACAGTCTTTGCTGTTGCACTAATGGGTAGGTCAGTCTGGGGAAGTACCAAAACCTCACAGAAGACTGGCACAAAGTGGTAGAGTTAAACTTTTGGCGAGTGAGATAACCAGGGCCAACTTTATTTAAAGGTTGCAACTTGTTCTGGTGACTGGGATACCAAAGTCCCGTTCTTTAAATTACTGCCATTTCGTATTCTGGAGGTGTAGTACCTAGTTATCCATTGAAGGCGATTTTCTTATCATCAAAAGAACCGCCCGTTCATTTGCTGCATTCTTACATTAAATAATTATGCTATTGTTTTTTTTAGGAGCTGGCACAAAACTATTTGTTTGTATGTTGGTGTGAACGATGCCTCTCACAGGCCAGCCAACCTGATTGCACAAGCGAAGAGGAAATGAGCGAGGAAGAACTGGATGCGGATGACTGATGTTCTAATTTTCTGGCCTTCTGTCTCTTAGGCCTATGATGGACAGCATGTTTTATGTGTAGAATATGTTAGATGTTACAAGTTTGTGACTGAGTGTTCTTTGTGACTTTGTATTGCCAGTGTATTGTGGTGATCTTATTTTTATATATATTTTTTAATTAATAGCAACAGGTTTGCTATGTGTTATGTTGTGGTTAAATAATGCTTGGTGTTGTTTCACTATTACACTTTGCTAGAACTGGCTATCGTCAATTCTAGTTTTGTATTGACTTTACTGTTGATACAGTTTAAATTGATGAATTATCTGGCATAGTTTTACATGCAGATGGGTGTAATATTTTTTTTTTTTTAAGCTTTTTGAAGCCTTATACATTTTGGTTATAATCTGGTATTTAATGAATACCACAATGTAACCAAAATGCAGGTGGCTCAGGATCATGCTTCGTTGCAGTCTGTGGGAGAGACCTATGTTCAGCTGTGGACTCAAACAGGCTGAAATGATGAACGAAAAACTAATAGGATGGAGGAACATCAGTTAATTAGAAATCGGATTTTATATTGTATTGTTATTTATGCAACTAATAAATAATAAAAACTATGATGTAGAATGTATTACGAGTTGTTAACGTTGCGAGAAAAGCACCGATTTTAATTAAAATTAAAATTAAAATAATTCAATTACAGTAATTTAGTAATATTGAAAAATCTCAATACATTTAAATTGTATGTATTTTCGGAAAATAATCTGTAGTCCTAATTGGGTATCGAACCGAAGCCTCTTGATTTGATGATGGATAATCTACTAATAAAGCATATTATTAAGTAATATAGATTATTAATGAATGTTAAACAAATAAATATATTTGCATTTTAAATGTTCCTAGATTAAGTGAATTTAAAAACATTGATATATTTATATGTAATGATGGTACAAAAACGAATTTTTGCATGTAGCCTATTAATATGAAAGAAACCAAATGGCCTAAAAGATTATTGTACTTAAGGACTAATGTACAGTTGTTTAAATTGATGTAAGTATCATTGCAGTAATTTGTGTAGTTCATTCAAAAATATTTCCGTGGCTTACACGAAGATCGAATAGTTTGGTAGTTATTCTGACGTTTATTTTAATTATGAACTAAGATAAATAAAACTAAAAGAAAAAAAATCCATGGCTTAGTCAAATTGACTTTTATTATTTTCAGTTATTTAATTTATAAATTTAGTAAACTTATTTTAGATATTTTTTAGTCCATTTGGTGTTGTTTATACCATATTGTTTTTTTTTTCAATTAAATATTTTGGGACATTATGTCCAAAAATATATAATTGTAATGTTAATTATATCAAAAACGAACTTCAATATGCTTTTATGTATGTATATATGTAATATATAAATAATTTGTTAGTTCATATATAAATGTTTAAAACATTAAATTCTAAGACATTTATTACTGTCAATTTATAATTGTAAGCACAAAATTGTACTAATTATAATAATTAAATGTTTAATTGTTAAATATTGCTTTAAAAGTTGGTAGAGATCTAGCAAACATTGTAGAGGTTTTCCAAGTATTTTAATGTTTTAAGAATGTTGTAGATTTTGATCAATAGATTTCCCCTTGATTGTTTTTAAAAACTCGAGCTGTAATTTGGTTAGTGTGTCGATATAATCCCAAGTTTTTTGCTGGCTGTAAGTAGTATAATGCCTACAAGTATTTGATAAAAAATAAACCATTGGATTTATGTTCTAGTGCACCATAAAAATTCCCCCATTAATTTCTAAGGAATTTATTTATACAGCGTTGGTTACATCCGCGACAATAAATGAACACACGTCTAATGCTTGCCAACTTGCCAACAATCATAAAAATATGTAAACGTTAATTATCCGTAATTGAAAAAAATCAATTAAACAAAGTAATTAAATAAAAAAGAAACAAAATTTGTAACATCCTATACAACTACTACTGACTGATTCATACATTCAGAGTTCATTCGTTCCTACAGCGTCGCATTAAAAGCTTCTTCTTCTCACAGTACGTTTTGTCTCTTTTAAATTCATTTAACCCATCTCATATGCTTTGTGATCTTTACAAATGAACTTTACGTTACAGTTTTATATGTAATGGTGTTCTAAAATTGTTTGTTTTGGAAAATTTTATAACTTGGTAAATTTTGATGTATGAATGAATTAATGAATGAATACTTTATTGTCCACCACACAAAAGGATACACAAAATTAACAATAGACAAACAAATTAATAGAATGGACAATTTGGCGGCCTTATCGCTTCATAGCGATCTCTTCCAGGTAACCAATGGTGAACGAAACAAGGTTGATGTTTAAATAAAGTAGATGTTTAATACAATTTAAAAAAAATATCCTCTATATGTGTGTTGATTTATGGTCGCGTTAGTAGTGCCACGCTGTATACATGTTTAAAATTTAATAAATATGAAAATGTATGGCTTCAGTTGAATGGGTCATGTGAGTCGATGAAGTCATGATATGGTTATAGTAGGGCTGCCAACAATTCTGCAGCTGATTATAGCGCTTTTGAAAATAATGTATAAAAATTTGTTAAAGTTTTTTAGTTAAGATTAAAATATATTTGTTACTTATATAAATATATTGTTACAAAGCTATATTGATGAGGTATATTGATCCATCCATCTATAACACAATACTTTTTCGTATATTTTTTCAAAAATATATACTTACTAGCTGTTAATAGCGGCTTCGCCCGCGCGTACTATGAGTTTTTTATTATACACCAGAATATCTCGCAGATGGCTGAATTTTTCCTACTTAGTTGACACTTATCATTACCTATATTTTGGACAATTCACACAATAACTTTATAAATTAAAGTCTATGTGTTATTCTGATGTATAGGCTTATATTATTCTAGTTGCATTAAAATCTATTCAGTAGTTTTGGCGTGAAAGAGTAACAAACATCCATCCATACATACAAACTTTCGCGTTTATACAAAGTAATTAAATAAAAAAGAAACAAAATTTGTAACACCTATACAACTACAACTGATTGATTCATATATACAGAGACTTTTTCATTCATTGCCTCGGCGTCGCATTACAAGCCTCTTCTTCTCACAGTACGTTTTGTCTCTTTTAAATTCATTCAACCCATTCATATGCTTTGTTACCTTTACAATTGAAGTTTACGTTACAGTTTTATACGCAATGGTGTTCTAAAATTGTTTGTTTTGGAAAATTTTATAACTTGGTAAATGTTGATGTATGAATGAATGAATGAATGAATGAATACTTTATTGTCCACCACACATAAAAGGATACACAAAATTAACAATAGACAAACAAATTAATAGAATGGACAATTTGGCGGCCTTATCGCTTCATAGCGATCTCTTCCAGGTAACCAATGGTGAACGAAACAAGGTTGATGTTTAAATAAAGTAGATGTTTAATACAATTTAAAAAAAAATATCCTCTATATGTGTGTTGATTTATGGTCGCGTTAGTAGTGCCACGCTGTATACATGTTTAAAATTTAATAAATATGAAAATGTATGGCTTCAGTTGAATGGGTCATGTGAGTCGATGAAGTCATGATATGGTTATAGTTATTGACAAAGTTGGGCTGCCAACAATTCTGCAGCTGATTATAGCGCTTTTCAAAATAATGTATAAAAAATATGATACAGCCTTAGTCTCATTTGTTAAAGTTTTTTAGTTAAGAATAAAAAATATATTTATTAAAAATATATTGTTACAAAGGTATATTGATCCATCCATCTATAACACAATACTTTTTCGTATTTTTTTCAAAAATATATACTTACTAGCTGTTAATAGACGGCTTCGCCCGCGCGGACTATGAGTTTTTTATTATGCACCAGAATATCTCGCAGATGGCTGAATTTTTCCTACTTAGTTGACACTTATCATTACCTATAATTTGGACAATTCACACAATAACTTTATAAATTAAAGCCTATGTTTTATTCTGTTGTATAGGCTATATTATTCTAGTTGCATTAAAATCTATTCAGTAGTTTTGGCGTGAAAGAGTAACAAACATCCATCCATACATACAAACTTTCGCGTTTATAATATTAGTACGCAAAGCCAAAAAGCAGTACTATTTTTAATACGTTTGCCAACCTTATTAAGTAACTGAATTTTGTATGAACTTCCGTGTGAGGTTTTAGATGGTGTATGTATATATTATAATATGCAGAAAATATTACATCGAAAGGGTTCAACGGTATTTCTAATACAATTTAGTAGAAAATATTTAGTCTAAATGATTAAAAAGTATTTTCGATAAATAAATACATTATTAATTCAATGGAAATTTTTATTTTCCACCTATCATTTATTTCTCTTCACTGAAATTTTACGAAAATTTATTTTTCATTAATATTTACTTACATATTCGCTCACTTAGCGGTAAATATAATAATAAAGGCTTAGTCGCTAAAATATGTTCGTACTAACCGCCGAAAAATAATAATAACTTCTAATTATTTTTTTCATCTGATCAAAAACATTTCCCTGTTTTATTTTGTACAAAGTGATAAAATAATTCCATTTCCAAACAGTCACAAAGCCATTATAATACCTTCAAAAAACAGAATGTAAATTGAATTGTAAAATAAACAAGGTTAGTCGAGGGATGGTCTAAATTATGTTAACGCTATTATCCGAGGGACATCAAATCACATTAAACTTCTCACCCATTTATATTTGCGGACTCGCAGATGGAATGCTTGCAATGTCTTTGTCTTTGATCTAAGGGAGATAAGAGGAAAAAAAACTGAAATGTACTTCTACTGTCTTCATGAACGGGGGAGGAATATAATTTATTCAGCAGATAATTTTCTCTTCCTTTTAAGGGCAGATGATTGAAGTACAGGGCGAAATGAAATAAATGTTTATATTCAGTTGCGTTAGGCGCGCAGACCTTTCGCGCGTTGTGCTATGTTATGTCTATCAAACGAGTTAAG